TATATATATATATTATATATACATATATATATGTATATATATATATATTATATAAATATGTACATATACATACATATATATAAGCATACATACATGCATATATATATATAAATATATATATATATATATATATATATATATATATATATATATATATGTATGTATGTATGTATATATGTGTGATAAGAAGAGAAGAGAGAGAGAGAGAGAGAAGAGAAGAGAAGAGAAGAGAAGAGAAGAGAAGAGAAGAAAAGAAAAGAGAAGGGAAGAGAAGAGAAAGACTGACATTACCGACGGTAACTTCAAAGAAAATAGTAACACACACAAACACACACACACACACACAACACACATACACACACACACACATATTATATATGGATAGAAAGATAGATATCTATACATATATATATATATATATATATATATATATATATATATATATATATATATATATACATATATATGTAGAGATAAACAGAGAGACAGAGAGAAAGCTAGCTAACTCTGACATATGCATCTTTCGATAAAGAATTCATATGCCAGTGGTTAAAGAAAAAAAATCTATGGCATTATAACAGCTTTTCCTCGGTTGTCTCCTTTCAATGCACCAATAAAAGTGTCTGGCATTTTCTCAAAGCCATGAACGACGTGCTCCTTATACTTCAGTTTTCCCTGCGAATGGAAAACGGAATTACTTACGGATATTATCCATAGTGTTTTCAGTTGATGTCACATTTTTTAATCACAAAATACAAAGCCTAAAAGTAAAAGATACAGACACAAAGATGAGAAATTTTATTAGAAATGATTGTTGTTAGAAATGTTTTAATTGCTATTGGAAATTATTACATTGTTATTAGAAATTATGAAATTATTAGATTTTCTATGTCTAAACGCCTTTGGGAGGATACGTATCCAAACTAGTGACAAATACAAAAAATAAGACGTGTGTAATTTTATTTACAGAAGCTTAAGGACTAAAAATAAATCTAAAATTATCGTCAAAAGTCGTTTCCAATCGTCCCTACAAAAGAAAAGTAACATCGAAGAAGAATCTAACTCGATAAACTCACCTCCAAGACCCAATCCCTCAGCTGTTCCAAGCCTTCCATCCAGCTGTCAGCAAATTCGAAAAACATGAAGCCTCGGATGCGCAGACAATTCCACAGAACGTCGGAATCCTTAAAGCAACCTGTATTGGAATTTGATCATTATCTTTACATACTGCTTTGTGATATATATATATATAGAGATAGATAGATAGATAGATAGATAGATAATTCATACTTGTTTTCTAACCCCCTGCTAATGCTCTTTTTCAAGTTATATAAGATTATTATTTTTAGATTCAAAGTTGTAGATAATTAATTTAATTTTCCTGGCTCTTCCAAGTAGAAATAATTCTATAAGCACCATCATTATGGTATATGGTCTTGTTATCTACAAGTCAAGGTCCTGCATGTCGGCCCACTGGTAGCGAAAGTACATATATATTTGAGATTAATTGAAAGATGTTCTTAGAAGAGTTGCCATAAAATGCATTTGCAAAAGGATTTGTTCGTATAAACTTTCATCGAAAATGCTCTAAATTGTAGTTCATAATAGTACACTAAAGTTCAAATATGAATAAAAAAAGTTGAAATTAAAGGGAAACAAATATAAGTCCTCCCAAAAATCATCCAATCCATCAAATTTCGAATTTTAAAAATCAAATAAAGAGAATGAGAATTAAGAGCGCTGTTCCTAATATAATCTAATTCCTATGAGTGTCTTACCTAAAGCAAAAAAAAATTCGCATCAATATAAGATACTAACCCCCCCCCCACACACACACACACGTACACCCTCCTACATAACGAAAGTCTATGGGCCGTTTTTTAATAGGATTCTCAAAATGCAAGTTAAAATTTATGTCTCATCTCCGACCTGTCATAGCGCCCTCTTCCTCCTCCTCCTTGTTATACCCGGAGATGGCGCCACACACTGCCACTCGCCCGCCGAAGGCCATGTGGGGCATTACAGACGCAGTGAATGTTCCTCCGACCTTAAGAAAAGAAAAAGAAAAAAAATATAGCATATATAAAGATAGAAATAAAGGGGAATAAGACTTTGAGGATTATCGATGCGATTAGACCGGGGGTTCACAAGCTTTTTATATTATTGACCCCTTTGTAGAATCCTTGATTTCTTGTCGACCCTCGATCTTGTACAAAAAAAAAAAAAAAAATCAATAGCAAGTAAATGTGCAATTTCCATATATATCATCGAAGGGAACTGCATACTAAAATAAGGGTAAGGCTAAGTTAGAATGTTTTAAAAAGCTACAAGACTATAATTCTAGTGATGAACAATATTGTAGCGCTTATCAAGTCATTTTCGAAAACAATTAATGCACCCAGAATGTCCATTAGAAAAAGTACAAAGCCCCAAAATAAAACAAAGTAATTAAAACAAAAAAAAAGTACTGACAACACGAAACATACTATTGTGGTAGAAAAAACAGAATTTTTATCAAAATGTTCCAGACAAAACCTACATTATCGAATTACATACTAGAAAAGTATTCCGGAAAATAATAACAGGATTATAAATTTATAACATCCGACAAACCTACTCAAAATAACTTACATTGTCGAAATAACAGTTGATCTTCTCCGGAGCAGCCTGACGGAGTGCCTCACCTACTCTGACCTTCTTGTAGTTAAAGGCGTGATCGGCCCCGATTTCCCTGAGCCAGTCGACCTTATCGTCTGCTCCTGCAAAGCCGATGACTTTGCAACCTGTAATGGGTATTTCAAATTTTCAATGAAGGTACGTGCAAGAAATATGATAAAGTAGTGAATAATATAATGATGTAAAGAACAGTGGTGTAGTGGTGGTTTGAAATTATGGTTTGCATTCTTAATATTATTAATGATGCAATGACGACAGACGTAACTATATCAGAAACAAAAAGACAATAGTGATAACGATATTAAAATAGTAATAATGATGATAGCAATAATAGTTTGATGATTATAAGACTAACATTAATTATAATAAGTAACAACAATATTAATAATAAATAACAACAACAGCAACAACTGCTCTATCAAGATGAACAGGAAAGGGAGAGAAAAAAAAAACTTGCTGTCACAAGCTGGTGTCAATGGCTGTTGTCAAGAGGCTGTTGTCAAAAGTTGTTGCAAGAGCTGCAGACAAATTTACTGTCAACATCCATGATGACACACCTTTGATCTTGGCTATCTGCACCACGACGCTCCCCACCGCCCCCGCCGCACCGCTCACCAGCACCGTCTCGCCAGCCACCGGACGCAGGATCTCCGTCAGCCCGAAGAGAGCCGAATTTCTGAAGAATTATCAAAAAAGGTGAATCATAAGGCAAGTGCGTATTTCTATTATACATATGTACTGTATATTCAGACGTGTACATAAAAGCATGCATGAATCAACGCTCGGGATGAAAACATACACAATGTAATATAAATAAAGCAAAAAAATAAAAACACAAAAAATGAACCTCTGCTGTAGAGATATTCGAAGCGTCTCGAAGACCTCGTAACTCACCCATGAAACAGATATGGCTTCACTCACACATTGACTCACCCGGGCATCCCAAGAGTTCCGAGGCCGAGACTCAAGGGTAGACCTTTCATGTCAGGCAGCTGGTGGGATTTCTGCCAAAAGTCCGTCGTCTGCAGCTTCTCCTGCGATAAGTGGGTGGTGCAGCGCCATCCTGCTTGCGTGACCATGAAAGAACCGACGGGCCATTGGGCGTTCTTGCTCTCGATGACGCTGTTTTACGGGTAAGTGTGGTTAGGTTAAGGTTTCGTTTGAGTGGTGGAATTCTGGTGTTCATTCACTGTCTCATTGTATTTCTTTGTATTTGTCTATTTGATTTGGCCTCTGGAAGAGCATGTGATTACATAATCACTTGAGCAAATATAAAACGTGCAAAAAGGTATGGTTTGGATATCGGGAAACTGATTCTTGTATAGTATCCGATATTATTGCTGCGTAAGAGTCTGTCTCTGCCATCGGATCATGCCCCTATTTCTATTTGCATGTCTGTTCACGCTGATGTGAACACGCTTCTCTCACGAGCGACGACACTGGGAACTACTTCGGTAATAGCGCTTCAATATCCTAGTTTTGGATGAGCCTGTTGTCACCATATAGGTAAATAGGTAAACGAACAAATTAACAAGCTAAAGTCTGATAAGGCCTGTGGACCCGACGGGATATCGCTGGAATAACGTTTGATATTACCTGTGGAATTGGTCATGAACCTTGCCACTCTTTTTATGGCAATATTTTTTCTCGGGTTCTTACTTTTGGCAATTAGCTGAGATGCTTATGGTTTTTAAAGGGGACGACAGGGATCTTACCTGTCATTAAAGACGGATAAGCGTGGTCAATAATATTGCCAAACTTGACATGTTAAAACTCCAAGCTAAATCGTGAGCCAGGCCTTTATAAGTATATAGACCTTGATGGCGAACAGGCAGGCGCCCAAGCAAACAGAGGCTGCCAAGAACACAGCTGCGCCTCCTTACCGATACTAATTCCTTGCCCTTGTCGACTTTTCCCGGGCTTATGATCGGGTGTGATATTATTCAGGTTCTTAAAAGATGTTTCCTAAAAGATGAGGAGTATAGGCCGGACAGATTCGTCTCGTGGCCGCACGTTCCCGTGCTCACGGACGACTCAGTGCCGCAAGCTAACACGCGGGAAATGTTGCTTCGTAAATTTGAGATACTTAAACGGTTCAGCAACAGGTATGGAACGAGAGTTAATCCTCAGAACGATTTTCGTCATTGATGGTACAAAGCTGGATAATGTGGGTGGTGCAGACGGAGTGCCATGTGATAGAGCACTGTAGAATAACACAACACGTAACAGACAGATACGGCTTCACTAATCTGTGCGAAATTATCAATGTCATAAATAACTATGAAACAATGTTAGAGATTACTTACAAATTTCTGTCTGTATTA